TGGAACAGACTGTGGAATCTCAGAGGGAAGGCGGGGGTGGGTGGGAAGAGATCAACCAAGGAACTTGTATGCATATATGCATAACCATGGACACAGATAATAGTGTGGTGGAGGCCTATGGTAGGCAGGTTAGAAGGGGTCAATGTGGAAAAATAAGGGGACATATTGAAAGGAGTTAAGGCAGAATTAGGTAGACAGGGTAAGGGACGAAAGAAGGAGGAATCATGGAGCTAGGTGAAACCACAAAATGTTTTGCAGAAAAACAAGATGGATAGCAGGAAAAAAAGGGTGTTTTGAAACAAGGATGTTTTTCTTGCAAGTGCAAAATAAAATGTTGCAAAAAGGCCAGGAACCAATCAGAGAGCGACACAGATAGAAAAAGAGCGGGCCTTTAGCAGATATAAGGGGAAGAGCAGAATACTTCGGGGGCAACCATTTGAATCCCCTACCTGAGCAGGGAGTCTGTGTTTGTTTGCAATAAACTCCTGCCTTGTTGAACTCCTCTGGCTGGTCCAACGGCTTCATTCTTTAATTCTGTGAGACACGACCCTGGAAAGAATTCCTGCTCACTGGTTCCAGTATCAATATGTAATACTTTCAGCAATAAAGATTTAATTTTAAAAATGTAATGAAGACCATAGTACATTAATCTTTACATGCATCTCTATTTTGAATAAATTAGAATTGGAATTACTGAGTTTGAATGATGAGAGGCACTTGAAAGGTACTGATGAATTGTTCTCAATATTGTTGTACAAATTATTTCCCATCAATGATATATAAATGTGCATAGTTCTCTACACATTAAAGCAAAGCTTCTTGTTTTTATAAATCTCTGCTCACTTGATAGGCGGTTTTAGAGGTTTTTATTTTTTCTTCTTAATCCTCCCCCGAGGATATTTTTCCCCATTGATTTTCAGTGTGGAAGGGGGCAGGAGAGAAACATTGATGTGACCGAGAAAAATCAATTGGTTGCCTTCCGAACGTGCACCGACTGGGCTGAGGATTGAACCTGCAACCGAAGTACGTGCCCTTGACCGGAATCAAACCCAAGACCCTTTGGTCTGCGGGCTGACACTCTAACCACTGAGAAAACTGGCCAGGGCAGAGAGACTTTTATTTCTAAGTTACATACAGAAAATTGACTTTATGGTATATAGGTCATGGGTTTTGATAAGTATAAAGTCATGTATTCTTCCACTCTAAAACCATACAGAACAGTTTTATCACTGATTTCTCTGAATTTCTCTTTTTATTGTAAATCCAATTTCCAAGCCATGAAAACCACTTATTTGTTCTCCATTCATATGGTTTTGCCATTTCCAGCGGTCATATGAATGGAATCATGCAATATGTAGACTTTTTGGTCTGGCTTCCTTCACTTAGCAAAATGCATTTAGACTCCTATGTGGTTATGTGAATCAACAGTTCATCCGTATTTATCAATGTACTTCATTGTATGGATGTACCACTGGTTTTTATCCATTCGCTAATTGATGGACATGTAAAAACTTCCCACTTTTGGTGATTCTGAATAAAATTTGTTCTATAAACTTTCAGGTACTGGTTTTGTGTGAACATAAATGTTCATTTCTATAGGGCAAATGCTTTGGAGAAGAAACAAGTATACTTTTCCAAAGCTTCTGTATCATTTTGCATTCCCACCACACATATGAGTTCCAGTTGCTCCACATTTTCACCAGTATTTGATATTCATATTGGTATTTTAGACTTTTACTAGCCATTCTACTAGATGTGTAGTAATATCTCATAGTGGTCCTAATTTGCAATTCCCTAATGGCATATAAGTTTAAGCACCTTTTCACATTCTTTTGTGCCATGTGAACATCTTCTTTAGTGAATTATCTATTAAAATCTCTTTTTTATTGGGTTGCTGGCTTTTCTTACTGTTGAGTGTTTAGAAATATTCTTTAAAAATTTTTTTTGATTGATTTCAGAAAGAAAGAGAGATTTGTTGTTAGACACATTTATGCATTCATTGGTGGATTCTTCTATGTGCTCTGGCTAGGAATCAAACCCGCAATCTTGGCATAGCAGGATAATGCTCTAACCAACTGAACTACCCGGTCAGGGTCTAGAGGAAGGGAAAGGGAGAGAGAGATAGAAACACCAGTGATGAGAGAGAAACACTGATCGGCTGCTTCCTGCATGCCCCACATGGGGATCAAGCCTGCAACCTGGGCATTTGCCCTGACCGGAAATCGAACCATGACCTCCTGGTTTATAGGTAGATGCTGAACCACTGAGCCATGATGGCCAGGCTAGAAATATTCTTGATGTTATCAGATATATTATTTGGAAATGATTCTACCAACTGGTGGCTTTTTTTTGGTATCAACAGTGCCTTTTTCAGACCAAAAGTTTTAAATGTGATGAAGTCTACTTGGTCAAATACATGACAATATAAGTTGGGATGAGTATATAGGCAGTTAAAATATACAAAAGCATCAATTGCTATTATGTCCACAGAGAAACTGAAAAAAACACCACCAAGGGAGTGAAAGAATTCAACAGGTCTTTTCAATTATTGAGAAGTAATATACAAATCAATAGCATACAGAAGTTTTAAGCAACACAACTTACAAGCTTTGCCAAATGTACATGGAGACATACATACTTCTGCGTTGAAGAAATACAGAAAACATAACTCGTTTGCAGTTCATTTGGAACAGTTAGTTACAAAATTGATTCTGCTTTAGACCATATAAAATTATTTACAAATTTAAAGAATTGGTATCAGAGAATTCATGCTGTCTTACCTCACTGAAATTAAGTTATATATTAATAAAGAAGATATATAAAACATCTACCTATACTTCATAATTTAAAGTTTTTTTCCTTTGAAAACACATTTCTATAAAAAAATAAAAAACAAGCACATTTCCAAATATGAATCCAAGAAGAAATCATGAGGTTCATCTTAAAATGCTTAAATTTAATAATAAAGAAAATATTACATATAAAAACCTGTGAGACATGGAAAAGCATGCTTTGAGAAAACTTGACAGGTTTAATAAGCTAAGTATCCAAGCTAAGGATAAATAGGGGCAGTAGGGGGGAAAACAAAAGTAGAAGGAAGGAGGTATTAGAGGTAAAGGTATCAATTCATGAAATAGAAAACAAAGATACAATAAAAATCAACAAAACCCCACATTTATTCCTCTTACAAAACTACCAAAATGGACAAACATTTGGCAGATGCATCAAGATAAAAAGAAAGATACATAGAAATAATATTAAAGAAAAGGGGAACAAAAAGAGAATATAAAGATTAAAAAGATTAGGGAACCGGTATGAAGAATTCATGCCTATAGGATTGAAAATTTAGAGGAAAGAGACAAATTCTAAGAAAAAATATAACTTAACATAGCTGACTCAAGAAAAAAAAATAGAAAGCTTGTATAGTCGTGTAAAATATAAAATTAAGTGGTATTCAAATCTTCCTTGAGATCCAACTATATTCTTTATACCAGAAAATAACTATAAATAAAAAGATAAAGTATATAATACAAACACTAATCAAAAGAAAGTTGGGATGGCTATATTAATATAAAAAAGTAGACTTCAGAAGAAGGATAAAGAAGAACATTACATAATAATAAAGAGGGCAATTTGCCTACAAGACCTAACAATTCCTACAATACCTGAAGCAAAAACTGACAGAAATGTAAGACACAGACAATTCCATGGTTATATTTGGAAATTTCAATACTTTACTCTTACGATTTAATGGAACAATCAGGTAGAAAGTTAATAGATCTAAACAACATTAGAATCAACTTGTCATAACTGACATTTGCAAAACACTATACTCAACAGCAAAATTTATATTGCTTGCAATTGTACATGAAATATTCTAGATAACCTTGATATCTTGATATACTCAAGATAAACTATATTCTAATTCATAAAATAAATGAACAGACTGGTTTCTTTCACTTATCAATATGAGTTTAAATTAACTCCTTGTTTCTTCATGGCTTTATAGCACATTTCTTTTTATCCCTGAATGTTTTTATGAGACATGGCTGAGATTTTGCCTCCAATGGTTTCTTTAAGAATTTTAATGGTTTCACGACTTACATTAAGTATTTTATGCATTTTCAGTTTATTCTTATGTATGGTGTAAGTTGGTGGTCTAGTTTCATTTTTTTGCATTTGTCCAATTTTCCCAACACATGTATTGAAGAGACTGTCTTGATGCCATTGTATGCTCTTGCCTCCTTTGTCAAATATTACTTGAACATAATGGCTTGTGTTGATTTCTGGGTTCTCTGTTCTGTTCCACTGATCTATATACCTGTTCTTGTGCCAGGATGAGGCTGTTTTGATTACCGGGTTAGTAGTATAATTAGTGCCCTTTTATTTCATCTTGGGGAACTCCTTTAAGCATAAGAAATAAGGCAGGTCTAGTGGTGATGAATTCACTGAGCTTTCGTTTATAAGGAAATGTCTTTATTACTCCTTGATTTCTAAAGGACATCTTTGGCCAGGTAAAGTATTCTTGGTTGACAGATTTTCCTTTCAGCGATTTGTGTATACCATTCTACTGTCTCCTGGGCTGCAAGATTTTTGCTAAGAAATTGAATGATAGCCAAAACCGGTTTGGCTCAGTGGATAGAGCGTCAGCCTGTGGACTGAAAGGTCCCAGGTTCGATTCCGGTCAAGGGCATGTACCTGGGTTGCGGGCACATCCCCAGTGGGGGGTGTGCAGGAGGCAGCTGATCGATGTTTCTAACTCTCTCTCTCCCTTCCTCTCTGTAAAAAATCAATAAAATATATTTTTTTAAAAAAAGAAATTGAATGATAGCCTTATGGGCATTCTCCAGTATGTGAGTTTATTTTTCTCTTCTTGCTTCATTTAAAATTCTCTCTTTGTCTTTTATTTTAGACAAATTTTAAAAGATGTATCTTAGGAAAGATTGATTTGTGATGAAATTGTAGGGGAAGTAACTATGTAGGCTTTTGTTACCTCTTTGCATTCTTTTACTTTGTTCTCCCATCTGACTGGATAATTTCAAATGATCTGTCTTCTATTTCACAGATTCTTTCTTCTGCTTGAACCAGTCTTCTGTTGATGGTCTCTACTGATTTTTATTTTCATTTTATTAATTGTATTCTGCAGCTCCAGAATTTGTTTTGTTTTTCTTAATGATTTCTATTAAAGTTATTGTGTTATTGTATTGTTTGCCTGATTTCATCAACTTAACTTTGTATGTTTTCTTGTACTTTAATGACCTCCCTTAAAACAACTATTCTGAATTCTGTATCGAGCAAATCACAGATCTCCATTTATTTGGAGCTGGTTTCTGGACAATTGTTTTCCTTTGTTGGAGTCATGTTTCTTTGATTTTTCTTGTTTTTTGAATCCTTGCATTACCGTCTTCACATCTAAAGAAGCATCACCTACTTCAGTTTTTACTGACTGGCTTTGGGAGACAAATGCCTTCCATTTGCCCTGTTAGGGATTTTGAGGCTTTCTCTGACCTTTTCTATGGGTACACCTGTCCCACAATTCCTGTTTCCTGTTGGCGGTAGGGGGGACTCGAGATTTTAATACTTCTCTAAATTCTGCAAAGCCAGGCTGGGTACTGACAACCTCCCATTTGCCTTCTGTAGGTCAATGTAGAAAACTCAAAGTTTGTGTGCTTTTTCCTAATCCCACTGTCAGGCCTTCTTACTGCGTATGCCCACTAACCTTCTACAAAGGCTCACAGACACCACCTGCAAAGGTGCACACAGGAAAATGTCTCTGGGTTTGAGGTATGTGTTGGGGTACCTGTGGACCAATGTGGGGGTGTCCATTGATGAGTCATCCCCAGCAGTTTGTGGGCAGACTTACTGATGAGTTCATGAAGCAGTTAGTAGGATCTACATCTCTTTGATACTGTTCCATGCTTTTCCAGCCCTAGCTGCTATTGCAGTTATTTGCTGGCCAATGAGTCATATCCTTTACTCAGTATTCTGCATGGGGTAAGAAGGAAATGCTCCTCTTCGGCAGCATACGGCACATCTGGGAAGCCAGGCATCCACTCATGCTCTTTCATTTTCTCCTGTGGAAGAAATCACAGGTTAAGACGGTCTCTCTTAACTCACCTGTGCCACCTTGGGGAAGGGGTGATATGAGTAGAGTTAAACTGTTTCTCTTACCTTCTTCAGTGAGTTCAATCTCAAGAGTTTTTGCTCTAGCAGTGTGCTGGAATTTTTCTGCTAGACTCCTGGACTTCCACACTGGCCCTCTTATCCATGTGTAATTATCAAAATTGGTGTTCTTTTGGAAGGGTGGGAGTAGCAAGATTGTAGAAAACTCCTATACAAACATTTTGATGACATCATTCTCTCGAGAGAAACTGTTCCTGAGCCTTGATAGAAGAGATCTTTTCACATACTGTTAACAACAAACACAAAAGTGAAACTTCAGGGAGTCAATCCTTATATTCATTTCTCACAACTAAAGAATAAAATCAGAATTCCTAATGGAAAGCTCCTCTAATACATAATGTCAAACCTAGGATTCTCAGAAATCTACCAGAAGCAGCAAATGTTCAGAAATAGACAACATGGACAATGAACAGCTTGCCTCCCAGGTGTCAGAACAAGATCCCTTTCTAATTCCTGTTTTATTTTTCATCTACTTGCTTGTAATCATTCTTCTAATTTTCTATAGACCCATGGTAGTCATTCACTCATAATTGTGACTTTTCTTCTTTCTTCGTCTTTATAACTGCCATTAAATTGTACCAAATAGGAGCCACTACCCTCAGTTTTACCTATCACTGGACATGATACCCATGATTTAAAAAAACAAAAACAAAAAGCAAACAATCAAACAAAAAAACCTATGGGCAATTTCATTGTCATCAAATGAGACCATAGGTAATTACAACCAATAGTATTTACACTTGCTACATGGCAAATGTCCTTAAACAAATAACCTGTGACTTTGCATGTGTCCCACAGAAAAACAACAACACAATTAGTACTAGTGATCACCTCCTGGAAACTGAGTTTGAATCCAACAATCTTTGTAGGACAATGTTCCAAATACTTGCCACCTGGAATCATTAATGGAATTCGTTGTTTTATTTTGTTGTTGTTGTTTAAATAATAAAATAGATAGATAGATATAAATATAGACATAGATATAGATAACCCAGCTAATATGGGGCCTTCTTTCAGACCTCATGTCATGAATAATTTCTTTTTCCTGGATCTTCATGTGCTTCTAACAGACATTACGATTTCTTTGCAGCTAGGTCATTTGGTCCTCTTTGTTCCAGATTAACACTTTATCCACCTTACAAACAGTATTCTGAGACTTCTCTGTACACAGAGACCGAAATTCTACAAATGGGCAAGGCTGAAATTCTGACTCAGATGTGAGCTCCAAAATGAGGCCACCTGTGATTATTCAGGCACAACACCTGGAGAAATTACTCATTGTTTATGTGAATAATCAGAGTAGTTTTCCCACTGATGGGAATCATACAAATAGAACAAACTGTTTGAAACGTATTACTAATTTTGGTAGAAATTATTAACATCATCTCTGCCCTAAATAGAGATTAGTCTCACTTTGACATGAGTAGTGAGTTTCATTACTCCAGATTTCTTGGTTAGTCATGCGTCATTGCTAAAACTTCATTCTGTATTTGGATCAATGAGAAAAAGTACTACAACCTACACAATGCTTGAAGAAAAACAATCTACCTGGATCTCTAAGTCTTTGATCGTCACAGCTGATGGGAATTGTTCTCTTGACCTGAGTCAGGCAATTGGGGTTCTGGGTTCCAAATCACAAGAGGGATTTAGGGTGAGTAAGCAATTGGAAAGGTAGTTTGAGCAGGGGCAGGGGATTCAGAGCAGGTAGAGGGTGAGTAGAGAAAAGTAGTGTAACCTGAATCTGAGCAAAGCTCTCGACAGGCTGCAGAGAGGTCTGAACAAAGACCTAAGAGAAAACATGAGCAAGAACTGGAGGGAGGGCTAGAGCAGAGAAATATTACAAGTGGAGTTTCAAGTGGGTGCAAATCAGGATGAGGCTAATGGTGGTTGAGAGCATAGATGGGGATAGGGAATCAGAGCCAAGAAGTAGTGCCAGCCAGTGCTGGAGAGAGAGTGCAACCTGGGATCTCAGCAGGAACTTGGTGAAGATACAGCCTGAGGAATAGCAATGGAATGGTGGATGGATGGGGTTACAGCATCGAGAAAGATCCAGTTAGAGAGGTAGTGAGAAGCGGGTTCCTGGTGGGCAAGGGGCCGCAGAGGGAAGTAACCTGAGGAGAGGTAAACTGGATTCTAGAACCATTTAGGAGAAAGAACACGAGTGAGGAGCAGAGAAGTAGCCTGAGGAGGGGTTGGGGCAGTGCTTGGGTCTGAGAGGGAGAATGATGGGGCATGAAGGGAGATGAGCACAAAAGGCAAAATGATTGTGATCCAGGTGAGATGGAGGCTGGGGGGAGGGGAAATAATAGAAGGAGAAGTGTTGGGAGCCATTGGAAATTGCATATACGTCTCCAGCTTACAACACAATAGGTTTCTGGTCCCCCCAAGCCAGCTCCCGGAAACCACTTAAGCCTTGTGGTTTAGCCTGGAGTTAAAAGATAACCTACCCTCACCCTAAGTACACAGCTGCTAAATCTCCGCTGACAAGCACACATCTCCGCTGATAAGCACACAGCCATCTGGAGCCTGCTAAATCTCTAGTGATAGGTTACTGCCCATGGACCCCTTTACCCACCCCCTTCCTCTAGAACAATATAAATTCTACACGCTGTAAAAATAAAGTTGAGGCTTGATCAGAACACTGTCTTGCCTCCATTCTTTCGTGTCCCTTGTTTGTCTCATTCTCCTAGGGTGTCTCTTCGTTCCCCCGTTG